AGCCAACGCATCGGTGCTTAAGATAAGATGAGCACCGGTGCTCATTAGATCATTTCTGTATATATATATATATATATATATTACGTGTAATCAAAAATTAAATAACACAAAAGTATTTTGAGAATATATTAATAAAAAATGAGAAAAAGTTATGAGTTCACGTGCAAAATTATTTAATTGGAGGTCTATGTTGTTTAAAATGTGTTTACGGATAAATAAATTTTAAAGAATCTATATCGAACATGGACTGATATATACTAAAATTCAATTCGAATGTTGTCATGAAAAACGTGACTCGAACATATTTTGTAAAAGTCTAGGAAAGAAAGCCAATATTTCATACATTGTTTTGGAGGGTTTTAGGATAAAAAGGCACAAAGTTGAGACCAAAGAGTTCTATCCTTTTAACAATTGCAGTTTCTCTAAGCAAACCTTGGCATGTGAATAGACTTCATAATTTTACATTCATAATTATATATAATTAAAAATTAGATAAGACGGAAGACGTACTTTTTAATATTTTTCTTCTTCGATCATATTTGATATTGTCGATTTATTGTTATGCCGAGTTGGTGGAGAAAAATGAGTGATTTTTGGCGACAAAAACGATACAATGAGATTTTTTTTAATTTTTTTTTAAAATTGTTTGAAAGGTCACACCAAACACTATGCAAATTGGTGCTTTTATCTTAATCATATACAGTTGTTAAAATGATTGTCAGTTAGTTAACTAAAAAATTAAAGTTCTTAAAAATTAATAAAATAATTTGTAAAGACACCTTTTTTAATGTTCTTTTTCAATCACTTTCCCCTTTTTCTTTTTGAGGGTTGGTCTGTCCCTTCCCATTGAAATCATTTTTCTCTGTTTCTTGGAGAGATGACCTAAGCTGATGTGCAAGGTGGGACCCAATGAATTCATCTTCAAGGTTGGGTCGAGGCACGTTAACACTATAAGTTTTAAATCAGTAAGTACGACTCTTCATTTCAAAATATGTGGGTAAGTTGACTACAATAATAACGCTCCTAATCATCATCCTGTTTTAAATCAGTGTGAAATTTTCTCAGATGAACGGGAACACTGATGCATATGTTATACCGTTGGTGTAAGACTAAGTTAAGTACGGTAAAAATGTAACATCCATGTCTTGTACCGTTGCCATAGTGCGATGACACCAAATTAAACAATGTAACAAAAAGTTAAAATTTCTATTAAATTTGTCTGTAAGGAACATGACAAAAATGAATGTCCTTGGAAAAATCAAAAAATGGAAAACTGTGTAGTGGCGAGTCTGCAAAGGGGGACCAATGGAGGGGTGTCTCAGGAGTGCACTTTCATTATATTTCCAATGCTGATGCTGGTCTTCCAATACAACAATCCAGGTAAGCAATGACATAAGTGTACCAGGTTGGATTTTGTTAAGAAACAAGACATGATTTTGTAGGGATTCTATTTTATTTTATTTTCTCCTTCTTTTAGACTAGACCAAGTTATTTATTTTGTTAAGAAACAAGAAAAACATTGTTTAACCAAGGTTTTATAGGGTTGAAAGATGGTTGTTCATATATTGATAAGGGATGTAAATAATTCTTGAAAAGAGAATTGTGATGGACCTTCTGAATCGAAAATTGGATCTATATTAGATCTTGCATGAATCTCCTTATGAAACTTCAGTGTCCTTCGGATTGTGGTTAAGTATTTCATGTGCAGCTCAGGAGTAATATGAAGAAAGACTCCTAGGGATTCTTTGTTTTGCATTGAGTTAATAGTTTTATATGTATTTTGTCTGTATAAAGTATTCTGACATTAGGAAATATTGGAACTTCAACGTCAGCATTATCGTCGATCAAGTAAGATATAAGCATCAAATTCCGAAAAGACAACATACATGATCCTAGTAGACTTTTCATAAAATAGGGGAGCAAATTGGTGGCTAACCACACTCTCGTGCTGAAAAATGATATAAGTTTTGATTTCGAGAATCTAAAATAACAGAGTTTTGAATAGGTTTAAAAGTTTTACACGCCTGCATTATAGGAGGCCAATAGGGCATTTATAAAGAAAATGAGACAACTACTATAAAATAAATTCGAAAATGAGTTTGAGGAGGCAATGGCCAAAGTCTATGCTTCTCTAATGCAAACAAATTCCATTAAAAGAATCAAAATGTGATTTGGACTTAAACTTAATGCATTTCAAAATGAAGATTCCACTTGCATCAACGTGATAATAATTAATGCTATTGATAAATTTATTTCACTGCAAAGATTGTTGAAGATTTGGTAGTTAAGTTATGTTAATGATTGACATTAACTAATGCTGGACCATTCCTAAAGTGCATAAGTTTGGTGAAACACATTATCACAATTGAAAGACATGTAAAATGTTTATTCGTTGTTCTATCAAGCCTGGCCCCACCAAACGGTTCTGAATGCTTTCAGGCAGGTTTGGCTCCGAAGGACGAAAATTTAATGCAAGCATAATATTTGATTAAAACTACAGTAACAGTCATTTCAGCAATAAGAATGGGAAAAGAAAACACCAATATAACCATTTAGGCAGAACTAGTCGAATTTTTCCACCCAAAAGTTCCACAAGAGAAATCAGACGTAGTTATTCCTACTTCGACCAGGAAATTTCGTACAAGTTGCAGCCTCCTTATAAAGAGAGTTAGAGGAAAACTGTTAGAGATAGATTCAATCAAGGCAATCCAAAATTTTCTAAACAGATGATAATGAGCTCACTTATTATCCTTTTGACCAATTCATACCTCAAAAGACGACAAGGGCTCAGATGCAGAAAGCAAAAATGAAAATCATGATTTTTTTTTTGGCCTACAGGCCCTGATCAATGAGATAGTCTCCCAACCTCTCAACAACCATGTTGCATTGTCCTGGAGTTACAGGCTCCTCGTAGATACCAAAAACTAGTGCTTGACCAGTCTTCTTAATGGTAATACCGCCAGATCCCTGCCAAATAATTGAAATCCGTTTGTTAAACACACGCAACAATCCTTGCCAGATAAGAATTTTGTTGTTTAAAGAACAATCAGAGTTTGATGGTAAGATGGATAACTTGAAAAGAAACCGCGTCATTTTGATTCAGTTATCAAGTAGTAATCTAAAAACGTAATAAGAACCGCTAATTAAACTTTGTTTCAGAAAAAAAAACTGAGAGAAAAGTTTAGATGCAAGTAAAAATATAAGCTGTTATTACATCTGACCACACAAAAAGAGCAAGCTATTTTTGTTGGTCAAAGGGCATTATAGCCCGAGGAGATCTACTGACAAGAAGTTGGTTTGTCCGTTTGATGAATGCATACATGCGTCTGAGTGTGAGTGTGAGTGTGAGTGTGAGAGAAAGAGACTCTCACACAGAGAGACAGAGACATAACGAGACATTTATGCAAGGTAGTTCAGTGAGGAAAAACGTAGTTCTCACAGAATCAATATCACTAATCCAAGAACATAATAATACGAACAACATATCTAACCACATCATGCAATGTGATTTGACTGGAATCAATGTCAAGGATCCTACAGCAGGAAAGCATGGTCAGACTCCAGCAATGGAAAATTAGTGCAAGGGAAAACTAGGGCACCATTTAGAAAATGGGTATAACTACAACCCAGTACAAAATGCCTCGGTCAGTCAAACACTGACTGCAAAGTTCAATGGACTGGTTTGGAAGCAACAAGCATGGAAACAAAGTCATTGATGATAGATGCCAGTAAAACCCATCGAGTAATCATACGGTATGCAATGTGATACAACACTCTTGAAAATAGTTTGATTTCCATGAATTCTGGAGATAGATGTAAATATTTGCAATCAGTCAAACACTGACTGCAAATTTCAATGGACTGGTTCGGAAGCAACAAGCATGGAAACAAAGTCATTGATGATAGATGCCAGTAAAACCCCATCGAGTAATCATACGGTATGCAATGGGATACAACCCTCTTGAAAATAGTTTGATTTCAATGAATTCTGGAGATAGATGTAGATATTGAGTTCTTCTATACAATAAATAACACATCAATTGATCATTAATGTTATGAACATCGACTAGTTCTATCAACATTAAACAGTATGTAACAGCTCTCACAATTTACCGTTTCTGCTTCATGTTTTAAATGGGGAAGCGACATGTCATTAATAATAATAATAATAATAATAATAATAATAATAATAATAATAATTCCTAGACTTGGTAAGAGCCATTACATGGGTAATCAATGAATTAAGACTTAATTGATTGTTTAAATTAAATTTATTACTATAATGCAAATTATTTATCATGAGATGAGAGCATGTTTATTAAAAGTAAGCACATTTCATTTCTTTTCAAATTTTCAATTCTGCACTTGCTAAATCTTTACTGAAAGAATAAGCATCGCAATACCACAAATAACAATAGAAAGGATGTGAACTTTCATAAATGAACTGTTAATGCATTATTTAACAGTGAATTGTTGCACAATAAGCATAGCAATACCACAAATAACAGTAGAAAGAATGTGAAATTTCAAATATATAAAGAAACTGTTAATGCATTATTCAACAGTGAATAGTTGCACACTTTGAGGATGTTGTATCATTTAATTAGGATTAAAGAAAGATGTTTCGTGATAAAGAGTAATTGAGTAAAGGTTCATTCTAGTACATAAGTCTACTAATCAGTTCGAATCCCCTCAGAGCCACTGAGGAGAGTATTCGACCGTAAATTTCAGGGCCCGTGGAATTAGTCGAGGTGTGCGCAAGTTGGGCCGGACATCCACGGTTATCAAAAAAAAAAAAGTACACAAGTCTACTAATAAGTTAAGAAAACTTTCAACATCAGATTCATTACAACGGAAGCGAAAGAAGTTATTATTCCCTTGGTAAAGGATGTAAACATAACTTGTCTCATTTTAGTCAAAGCTAGCCGAACAAGCCAAATTTACTGCTGAGAAAAATAAGTCAGTAGCAAATGTTAGCCTGGCTGATCGCAATATGTAAAGAGCCACATTATGTAGTAGCTAAAAGTTTCCCCAGTTTGAAGCTTTATTGGCCTGATATAACCAGGGAAAAGATTTTGTGGCATTCGCGATATAAAATCGTCACAAGCAACGAGTTAGATACAGTTCTATCCACATGAGGCACAATGTTAATGTACTTCAGTTAATTTCATTCACACGGTTTTCCGGCATAGGATGAAATAAAATTTCTTAACTCAATACCTTCTTTCCACGGATGACAGCTCCAGCCTCCCCTTGAATCACCATATACTTTGTTCCTCCAAGATATAGTCCTGTTGGTGCAAGATGACCAGGTTCATTGAAATCTGTCGTAATTCCATTTATCTCCTCTGGCTTGAACTGCAATCCCACAAATGGAAAACATAGAAAAAAAAGTGAAAATCTCAAATGTAATATGGACCAAGACAAGAAAATGATTGTGGGGAGTAAATAACTGAATCCATTCATATGACAATCAATAATTCATAGAAAATTTACACTAATCAGTATGTTGTATGATGGGGAATATATTATTGCACATCAGTGATCAGTTGTAAATAGAACAGGAAAATCGATTGAAACCACAAATCAGCGTTAGAGTAAAACAGAAAACAGACAAAATCACAAAACATGGCCAAATTTAACCGCTTAAACTTTTAGATTACATTGAGCGATGACAAAGAGAGAGAACCTGAGGGAAGGTGGCGCTCTGAGCCCAAACAGAACCGTCATGGCCGATGATGGCGGCGGCGGTTAGGCGGTGGCCTTCATGGCCCTCAATGTCACACATCAAATGATCATCAACATATGTTTGCCACGACATTTTCCAAAATTTCAACTCTCACAAACAATCTGAAAATTTTATCTTCTTTCGCTTGAATTTTTGAGCTTATTCTTTGAATTTGGATTATGGGTTTGGAGTATTTGAAATAGTGAAAGAGTAATGGGTATACGCATGTTCGTCTCCGGGCCGTTCAGAATCGCTTAATTGTTGCCATTCATGTCGCTGTCCGCCTTTATTTCAGGCATTAACAGCGTCATACCAATCTTCCAAGTTAATTGTCCCGATTGTGACTGAACTTATGTCTTCTCTTCAATTGCTCGAGATGTCGAGTTTTGACGACAAGAGTTATCTAAACTTTTAGGATAACTGCTTTTTCAAATCTTTAACAAAATTGGTGACGCGTCTAATGAAATGCACAAGCAGCATTTTGTCATGCTATTAATAAATTATTACATTTTCGATTGTTCATTAAATTTTGAAAAATGTAATTGATCGTTCACTGAACTTTGAGGTGGTCGAAAAATTTTGACTGCCAAACTTATAAAAATAACGCCTACCTGTTCAATTAAATTTATTATATGTTTTGTTGCAAAATTCAAATTTTATTTTAATTTAATTTTAACAACAAAACACACAATAATTTGAATTTTTCAAATGTTGAAAATAGCTAAAAATTCTATAAAAATATATTAAAATTAAATTTAACTATTTTTTAATTGAGTAATCATTTTTCATGGGATTGACAAATCGGACTTGTTTGTCCATTTTATTACTTTTACGCCTTGTGCACTTGCGGTGCACATTTTTAACGAACAACGGGTTGACGCCATTTTTATAAGTGGCCAAAATTTGACCACATTAAAGCTCAATGAGCAATTAACGACTTTTTCAAAATTTAGTGAACAATCAAAGACCTTTTTCAATATTTATTTAGTAGTTGATGATGTAGTAATTTATTGAAGGCATGACGAGGTGTGATGTGTGCATTATGTTAGTCACATCGTTAATTTCATTAAAGATTTGAAACGGGTGTTATGCTAGTGACTAATGTCCAATATTTGAATAAGTTTGATGGCCAAAACTCGACATTTCAAACTTCATCGAGCAATCAAAGACATAAATATAAGTTGAAGGACCATTGGGTCAACTCCAATTTTCCTGATGCAAATTCAATCACTCGTACATCATCCATTAAATATTGTACCTTTGCGTTTAGTTTATTACGATTGTCAAGTTGCTTTTATGACCTTTATTTATTTATTTATTTTTGCAAATTTTGTATAATGCCACGACGTGTTTATGCTATTTTTGTTGAAATATATAATATAATATATTAAATATCACATCTGTGAATTTTTATTTTTTTTGACTATTTTAACCATACTGCAAATCAATTATTTCAATAAATAAATTACTTTTTATTTTTCAATAGAGTAATATTATATATATTTTATAGTTGCTATATGCATCAAATTATCACGTGACATGTATATGTCTCGTAGGTTGACTGTCATGGTGAGTGCCTGCGAATAACATTATTCTTTTCAATACGTAATAAATATTACAAAATTCTTGTCATGTATGAATTTCGTGTTATTAATTTTCAATTAATTAGCATTCGCATTAATTTAGACTCAATGAATTTTGACTTGAGCAATCTTAATTTACATGTATTTATTTTTATTCGTACATCTTGAAATTTTAATGAATGTTTAAATTCATGTACTAACAATTAATTTTTATGTACCAAATGTAATATAAAAGGATTGCTCATTTGTAGTATTTCATCATTACAAAAAAAAAAAAAAATGAATCATATAAGTTGAGTTTTAAGAGTCAATTTTCTTCTTTTAAATTTCTATCTGAAATTTTGTTTTCTCTAGTTCGTTTGAAACTCATCAAATAATGTGCAATTCACGTTCAACTCTGACTAATTATATACGAAAGGGAGAAAAAAAAATAAAATATTGGAAAGGGAACGCTAGTAAAATTTTTGTTTGCCACAGTAATATAAACCCTCACATCAAACTAGGTACATGTTTGTCTATAATCATTTCAAAATTCTTTTTTCTTAAACTTATTTTCAATAACAAATTCTTACAATAAAAATTTTCGCACATAAATTCAAAACATTTTTCAACTTTTTAATCACACATTCTTTAAAAATTCTCTATTTCAAAACCTATTTTCCTACTTTAATGGTAGACGAACATGGGGAAAAAACGTTGACACTTTCAAATAAAATTTCGAGCATATTAATGTTTGAATTAAAAGTGAAAAAGTACCCAAAAAAATGTTCATGGAAATGTATAATAAACATTTTCTTAAATATTGTAGTACACATGTTATTATTCCTTCTAGAACATCATCTAGATGTATAACTTTCATTGAAGACTATTATATCTTATATATTGAAAAATATCGAGGGAAGTTCTAGTATTCTTAGGTAAGAAAATTATAAGATATAGATACTTTGAAGGGAAAAATTCATTTATAAGATGTTATATATGTGCCATTTCAAGAATAAGAAAACAAGTTTCAAATTTCAAAAATCATATTGTTTTTTTTTTTTATGAAATAATAAATTATTAAATATTTAATTCTACTATAATATAATTAACCCCCCTCCACCACCCATACCTCACCAGGGACTACTTTAGCAATCGTTCTAGCCACCAGTCTTCTCGGCGACTTTTTCGACAAATATTCCGTTGACTATTCCGGCAAATATTTCGTCGACTATTCTGGTGACCGTTCCGCCGCAACTTAGTTCCGGCGACTACTCCGATTCCGGTAATTATTCCAACTTTGACAACAACTCCGATTTAATTAATTAATTATATAAGTCACACATTTGTAAAATATAGTCACAAATTTGCAATTTTGTTAGTCATATTTTTTTTCCGGTCACAAATCATAATTTTTTTACGACACAAATTATTTTAAAGTCACAGTTCAAAAATTTTATACATCACATTTTGTTTATCGGTCACAGATCAAAAACTTTGTAGGTCACAGATTATTTCAAGGTCACAAATCTAAAATTTTATAAGTCATAAAATATAATTTTAATGTCACAAATTATTTTACAATCCCAATTTAAAAACTTTGTAGGTCACAATTTGTCTATTGATCACCAATTGATAGGTCACATATTTTTCTTTGATCACAAATCATAAATTTTATAAAACACCACTTATTTTATGGTCACAGTTCAAAAATTTTGTAGGTCACAATTTTTTATCGATCACAGATCAAAATTTTGTAAGTCGCGAATTATTTCGAGGTCACAAACCAATAATTTATATGTCACATATTATTTTATTGGTCACAAATCATAAAATTACATATCACAGTTATCTATCAGTCACATATTTTTAAATTTATTGGTCGCGGATTAACTTTTAGTCATAAATTATCGAATTTTAACGTCACATTAGTCCAAATATGTGGTCACATACAGTAAACACCCCATCACCGATCTTGGTCACAAATCACACCACAAATTTAAACAACTGCCGCCCGCACCACACCACACCACCACAACCACAGACCATCGCTTGCACCTCACCACCACCATAAAAAAAAAAAACACAGCCCCAGCTGCCTGCAAGTTGGCACCACCTCACCGTAGCCGTCACCACCACTTCAATCAAATCAGCCCATCACAAAAAAAAAAAAAAATTTTATTACAGTCAAAACCACAACCACAGATCGAGACACCGCCATGGCATCCACAACACCACTACCCACATGGCACCAACAATTACCAACACAACAGTGAACAAGATGAAGAAGAAATAGAGATAGATTAGAAATAAACCCAACGCTGTTGCGACCACAGATCTGCTCCACCACCGCACATCTCCACGACCACCGCCACCGTACTGTACAGATCCACAACAGTACCGGGTACTTCGGTTGAAGGTGCGGGTGGGCTCATCAGCTTAGATCTGGAGCAGGAAAAGTATGCTTCTTGCTGCGAGTCAAACCTTTGTCGGAGTCTCACTCGAGGGCGCAAAAGCCGGAGTTGGCGGACATTCAACTGGTGGTGTGGCCGCTTCGGGAGCCGGAGATGGTGGAGACTGGACTGGAGCAGCCATCGGCGGTGAGTTGACTGGCTCGGGAGTTGGAGGCGAGCTCACTGGAGCCGGCGTGGAAACTGTCAGTGGAGAACTTACAGGAGCCGGAGTGGAAACTGTTGGTGGTGAACTCACAGAAACTGAAGCCGCGGGAGTTGAAGTAGGAGCCACCACTGGAGCTCGAGATTTATGCTTCGTTGGTGAAGCAGCAGGCAGAGTAGAAACCTTAGCCGCGCCGGAGCTTTGGCTGACACAGTCGTCGGAGTCTGGCCTCCATCACCAGTCACCACAGTGCAGATCAATGACGCTCAGATTTCGACATACCAGTTGTCACGACCAGATTTCCTGGCTACGTCGCGTGCAGCGAATAGAGAGAGACGGGAGAGCACGACGACGTGAAGTACGGCGAAGAGAGAGACAGGGGAGTGGCACAGAACTGCGGTGAGAGGAGAGTTAGGGAGAGACGGGACTATGACGGTGAGAGGGGAGTTAGAGAGAGACGGGTTCACGGGAAAATGAGGGGTGGGTGGAGGGAGATAAGGTTTGGTTTAATTTAATAATATATTTTATCTAATAATAATATATTAATTAACAAAAACGTCAGATTTTGAAAATATCAAACTTCCAATATGATTTTAGCAGGTTGAATACTTAAAGTATGATTTTGTGTAATTTCCACTACTTTTAAAGGGTAGAAAATACATCGATAAGCGGATCTAATATTTTTCAATTATATGTATGATCTATTAACTCCCACAATGTCAATAATTTTCACTGTAGTATACATCAACTCCCATGCTTAAATGCTTTCAAAGATTGGTTTTGAAATGGTGGCCTACTTTTAGTCCACATAGGGATGAATAAATTAAGGATAATTCTACTTGTACA